AAGGCACCCTTCACATACTAAGTACATAATAAATCTTGCCCATGAAGGTACTACACCACAGCTGTAGGAATTTGCTGAGTCCTCTTCATGTTTTCTTTAATCCTATATAGTATAAGGACAACTTATTCCAAATCTTGCCTCCTTCACTTACTGTTTGATCTCAGGCAAGTTGTTTAACCACTATAGGCCTCAGTTTCCTCAAAGGAATAATTATAGTAGCTATACTTTTAGGCCACAGTGGTTCATGCCTATAATCCCAGCTGCTAGGGAGGCTGAGCGGGGAGGATCCCTTGAGCCCAAGAGTTTGAGGCTGCAGTGAGCTATGATTGTACCACTGCACTCCAACCTGGTCAACAGAGCAAGACCCCATCTCTTGAAATAAAAAAATAAACAAATAATTTAAAATAAAAAATAAATTAAAAATACTCTAAAAACTACTTCCATGAAAAACACTGCCAGGAATGTAATCATCACTGAATTAAAATGTATAAGCAAGGACTTAAATTTGAACTCTTCATCTCTTCCCATAAATCCACTAAGCATATATAGCATACTATTCACAAAATGCCATTCCACTAAAATAATAATTTTAGGAAAAACAATGAAACTCCTGTTCTGAGGAGCTTAGGAAGAAATATCAGTAGTAGCTGATCTACTGAAGGCAGTGTGGATCTTGGTTTCTTCCCCACAATGGAAAGGTCAGCTAGGATGACCTCCAAGGCCTTTCAAGCTCTGTCTGTCCATGACCCTGTCTCTTCATTAGACAGCCCTCCACCTCCATCACAAAGCCTCTGTCCCTGAAAGGACAGGTCCTTCTCTCTTTCCCAAACATGCCTGATCTTTGATACAAGGTTGTGTTCATCTCACATTCTTTTCCTTACACCTCCACCTGAAGCAGCCTTTCCTCACCCTGAAGACCAACTCTGGCCACCACCCAAAGTCCCAGTTTAAAATATGTCCCTTCCTCCACACCCTAAATTAGTTCTCCACCCTTTTCTTCAAAAACTCAGAGCGCATTTACTTGTTGTCTACGTCATTTTTTATTCAAATCTAATGGATAAATCTTGGACCTTCTTAAAATTTAAAAATTACTTTCTCTTGCACCTGAAATAATGCAGCCTTTGTCTTCATAGATCTAATGTGCACACATGTGCCTACACTGCACCATTAAATTTGGCTAGATCTGTAGCCACATTGATGGAAACCTATCTCAACTGAAGGCACACAGGCTCTAAGTTTAGGAAACGGCACAGACTAGGTTTCTACAGTATCAGTATCGACACTTTTCCTTCTGGCCAAGCTGACAAATGTATGGCAAAATAGAATCCAATAGCTGATAGAACTCAAGGTGCGTGTCATGCTACAAAATGTTTAATAATCACTTTAAATAGTCAAAAAATAAAGTTTGAACACAAGAAGGAAGAGTGTGTCAACATTAGAATTTTGTTCAAAAACCTTGCATTTCAGAACAGAGTGTTTTTCCTTTTTTCTTTAATCAAGCCCCATTTATACAGTGTTTTAAATTTTCTGAAATCTCTTTTCTTCTTCCAAGCATAACCAATCCTTTTTGCCAAGTGATAACTGATAAGATTGCTGTATCTATGTTATTACCTGGAGATTAGGAAGAGGGAACTAAAATCTGCATTTGGATATAGAAGACATATACTAATTAAACAAAGCTACCAGAATAAGTCTTCTTTATACAGCATGAATATCCTTTTTCTCTTTCCAAAAAAGCCCCTGTAATAGTAATAAGAATGCAATATACCTTAAGGGTTCAAATTCTTAAAATGAGGAATCATAATATGATAACAGAGTGTATCGAAGTTTAAAAGGCAGTGGGTTTTATTCCAGTGCAGTGTGTTGGCGCTAAGCCATGAGGTTATCATATTATAACATGGAGAGCAGTCGTGATGCCCTGCTACCATGCCCTGTGAGCTCTCTTGGGTGTCATTTGCACCCGTGACTTACGAGATTTTCCGGTTTGAAGCCTCATCATCAGTGTGTAAACTGAAGCTGCTCCAGAGGCAACAGGGGGAGAAGCAGCTCTGTGGCATTTGAACTGAAGATACTCAGGCAGAGAAACCAATCTGGTAGTGGCATGAGAGATGAGTGGAACCAGAGGAAGAGGAGACAGCAGGATGAGAAAGAATAAAGTAGAGTAGAAGACGATCGCAAATGAGGTGGCAGAATTAAAAAGGACAACAGAAAGAAAGCCAAAAGGTGAAGGTAGTGCAGGGCACAGAGAAAGAAAAGAGAGGAGGAGGAGAGGAGGAGGAGAAGAGGAGGAGGAGAGGAGGAGGAGGAGGAGGAAGAGAAAAAACATGTAAACAATCTTTGGGTATATGAAAAGCAACATGTACCATATGCCTGTACTTCTGATTGCTGTTTTTATAAGTCACAGATGCTTTCCAATGACCAAATACAGAATTAGGCACAAATCCATGAACCACAAGAGCTGGAATATCACTGATATACACTGGTTAAAAACAAAAACAAAAATCTAAGCTTCACGTCAATAAGTGGCATGAAAGTTACTGTCATGTTGGCTTTCTTGAGTTACTAGAAACCATAAAGCAGAGTCAAAGGAAATTCAAATGTTCCGTTCCTCAGCTTAGAATTGTTTAAACACAAAACAGGAGAATGTGATGTTGGTTTCTTAGCTGGTCATCTTCAAGCACACCTGCCAACCAGAAATGTCATATAGTTCCTGTGTATTTCCGGATAGAATTTCCATTATATCTATCTCCAGACTTTGGGTCTGTCTTTCCAATTTGAAATTAATTCTAGCAGGATCCACCTTGAGCCAACTGTGAAGCAAATCACAGGCTGGCCTTTGATGTTCCTATACCCCCAGCCTTCCAGCACCCAGGACTACATCCCTCCTTGGACCTGGGAAGTTTCCCCTATTTTCCTGATTCTTCCACTGTACTGGAAACAATGTGCTCTTAAAAAACAGTCTTCCATACTTAAAAAAAAAAAAAGGCATAATGAATTACTAATCAGAAAAATGAATCCTTGTTAAAGTGGTAGCTGGCCAATATATGACACTTTCTAAGTATCTAACGATGGAAAACCAAATTAAAATGTACTTTTTAAATTAAATCCCTTACATATGAGAATTTCCATTCCAGTACTAAGGTGGTCAGGGAATTCTTCAGGTACAATTGGTCTTTAACTTCCACATTGGCCCCTATGTTCCTCTGCCCACATGTGAAGTTGATGCAGATTAGTAGTTTATACAACCCTTTGTGTATGGCAAATACCATGAGGTGAATTGAAACGATGCTCTTTATTTTTATTGAATCAATTTATTCTAAACCCATTAAGATTTCTGACATTTCTAAACCAGGAAAATCTGAATGGTTTGTTGCAGATATCATATTCAAACATCAAATCCTTCAGCAGAACTGAACTTCATTATAGAGAACTGTTTAACCTTCCATGATCAAAACCCAAGACAATTAAAAGCAAACCAAATACAAAAGGTCTGAAAACCACGTATTCACTGATTGCAATCTGACACATGGACCCTACTACAATAACCTAATTCCGATGATGATCCTAAACACTTAGAGAAATAATGTCCCCGTGCCAGATCATGCCTGAAATAAGTGAGACAAATTTTTTAAGCTAAAAAGAGTAAGAAACATTTGGGAATGGGGACCTTATTAATAATATTTTGTATTAAACTCATGGACCATAGAAACCTTTATAAATTGGCTTTAGATGATATCTCTATCTTGACAGGCAGGGGTTTTGATTTATGCAGCAAAGTACAATTAATTCTAAGTACAGTGCCTGGCAAATTATAGAAGTTCAAAAGTATTTTTCAATGGTAGTGAAATGGGTGCACTTTGTTCATCTGCAATTACACATGAGGCAGTGGTTCCATTAGGTCTGCTGGGAACAGGACTTCAAAAAGGCAAACATGTCTGGAAGGCTGTGGTTCAAGGCCATTTTTGCTGGCTATGAGCAGGGTCTCTGGAACCAAAAAGAGCACAGAGCTCTTCTTAAAAGTGAAGGTGTTTATGCCCGAGATGAAACTGAATTCTATTTGGGCAAGAGATGTACTTATGGATACGAAGCAAAGAAAACACAGGGACTCCTGGTGGCAAACCAAACAAAACCAGAGTAATCTGGGGAAAGATAACTCAGGCCCATGGAAACAGTGGCATGGTTGGGGCCAAAATCTGAAGGAACCTTCCTGCTAAGGCCATTGGACACAGAATCCGTGTGATGCTGTACCCTTCAAGGATTTAAACTAATGAAAAGTAAATAAAGAAAAGTGGATTTGTGCTCTTCAAAAAAATATATTTTTCAATGAGTGAATGATTGTAGGTTTGAGTGAATGAACAGCCTCAGCAATATTATACCCATTACTGGTATAGGTGGTCAGCACCAGTCCTCCCTCAGCATGGTAGTATTTCAGCCAGGAGAGATTAGAGAGGGAATCCTTAAGAGGAAATGTAAGGTTGGCAACTGAAGCACACCTAAGCAAAGGATCACTGCTTAAAGGTATCTCATTAATAAAGATAATCACTACAGCACTCTGCATCTATGACTAAGAAAACACCCCACAGAGCACACACCTGAGCTACCACTAGGGGAGGGGAAGGGAGAACAAGGCAGGGCTCTCTACATTCTCAGATCTCAACGTGCTGCGTCTACCTTGGAAGCAGCATCTACATCAAGATGTCAACATCTCCCTAGTTTCAAAAACTTATCTGCCAATAAGACTGCCCTGTTACATCATTTGGCAGCAGAATTCTCTCAACTTTCTGTGTTGAATCAAACTATGGTGTTTCTAGAAAGCTACTTAAAGCTATAGAAGACTACCCAAGGGAAGATCCCAGGAACTCTTAAAGAAACTCTCATTTAGAGTCACTGGAAATGAGGCAAGACATGTTGATACCCTGCCCAGGTATCACCAAAAGAAGTGAGGGACCCTCTGTCCCAGTGTATTCTTCCAAAGTTGCCTCCTGACTACAGGAACTTACCGCATGCCAGAATGTCTTCCAGAGCGGGAGACACTGTTGCCCACAGGTGAGGGCAGGTTGCTCCCTCTGTGCAGGTCCTCAATAGACCTACTCCAGGGCCTTGATTTGTCCACTGAACTCTCCACAGTACTTTCCATACTTTCAAAGTCAAAACTAAAACAAAAGAGAAATGTCACTTCAGACTTAAAAATTCACGTTCACACACACACACACAGATGTGCATAACTTGCTATTCCTATAATATATCTGTACCTTAGTATAGGAAGTCCTTGCCGACAAAGACACCTAAAAAGGAAATACGAAAGAATTTCTATGGACTCAGTGTTAGCTTCAAAAATACAAAATGACACATACTGGGCCTGGCCAAAGAATAATGGAACAATAAACAGCAAAAATTAAATAGTGATGTATTATTTGTATTTTACTTTATTCTACATAAGGCTTGCTAACTTACCAATTGCTAACATTGCTATGATGGAAGGGAGAAAAGATCTTACAGCTGTCTTCGTTTTGCTTTAACAAGTCAATATGTTAGGCTCATACTAATTTATTCCTACCCATCAATTTTCATTGAGCATTTTCTCCTAGTGTGTTGGCAAGTATACTTTTCCAACCATATGTGGCACATTACTAGCAAAGTTATGGATTTGCTTTGATTTTGGAATCTCTTCCCAATGTGGTGCTCTTTAAAGTAAGACTGTTGTTTCTCTGACATTTTTTGAGGTTATTACTCATGTTCACCACGTTAGAATAAATGGCAAGTTAAGTTGCTCATTCTTATATAGTTTAGGAACAAAGTTTTTAAACAGAGAGGCTTCTGTGTTCCGTGCATTCTTTTTTCCCTCACAAAGTCAGTAACTCTGCTTTCTCACGAAAACATTGCATTAATTGTCTCTACCCACAGTCCCGCCAAGCAGCACCTGATCAGACGGACAGCTGAACAGAAGGCAGCTATACTTAATATCCTCTGGAAGATTTTACAGGATATTGCAGAAGAAAAAAACAACAATATGCATTGGAAACAATAGTATGACTTTTTATGACTTTATAAAAGTATGACTGTCAAAATAAAATATTTGAGTAGAATGTTGAAATTTGGTGATGTTCTCCACCTATTAAAAACTAATCAGACATACAAAATCAGCACAGGGGTCTGATCACAGACAATTTTGTCACGCCTTTGGATGCAGGAAGCAATGCCCAACAGCAAAGAGGTGGAATGCGGTAATCTAATAAAAGCTTAACTCGAGAAAGCTGTAACAGAGTCGGAGCATGCAAGGTGAGTGGGCATCTCCAAACCACTCACAGCATTAACGCGCTCAGCCGGCCACTCTGCAGCCCCCATGCCATTCAGCGGGTCAGCACTCACATGTTCCTCTCAGCCCATCCCTCACTCTCACACAACAGAAAAAGGAAACACACACAGAAGTGAATGCTTCTATTTTAGGGCTTGGGTATGAGCCTGTCGTCTCATACTCCATCCTTGCATGTCCATGGGCTAGGAAATTGTCACGTGCCAAGGAATAGTAAAAAAAAATTTCTGAAATTTTAGTTTTCAGAAAGAAGATAAAATTATATATCTATATATAATTTATTATCTAATTAAAGCAAAGCAAAACCAAAACCAGTAAGCAAAGAGAGTAAAGCTAACACCACAAAAAACAACAACAACAAAAACTCTCACAAAGGTACAAGATTAGGAAATCAGAGCTCTGAGTTCTGATCTTTTGTCGGCTACTGTCTTACTCTATAGAGTATAAGAATTCCCTCAGAGTAGCACAATCTTTCTGCATTGGTCCCATGTGAGGGTACATTTGGGAAAGTCGGTTTACAAGCTCTGTTGTCATGTAGGTAAAGGAATCACTAGAGCAAACACAATATAAAGCATGCTATTCTTACCTGTTATTCCTGAAATTTCTAAATCCTCCCTTAATTCCGTAAATATCACTCTCGATTTTAAAGTATGCAATAGGGTGATATTATTCTGTCTTGTCATGTAATATGAAGTATAAGGGAGATTAGTAGTTTTTGATGTAATGGAGATAGATAAGGAAGGTCCATTAGAAGAGCATGCTATAAAAATTAGAATTATATTTCAGAGGACAATTTCTCAAGAAAAAAAGAACTTGACTGTCGGTTTTTCTTAGTCTATTCCATCTACTATATGAGAGGTATTAAAACGGAAACCTACTCAAGCTGTTTTGTTAATAGTTTAGTTTTTGCATCTGTAAGGCAGGGGTGTTTATAGCTTTTGCCTCACAATTCTCAGGGAAGGAATGGGGATTATAAAATAGCATCCAATTGCGTCTTAGAACTCTTTTGGAGTGAAGCACTATAAAAAACAAGTTACTGCTTTTAAAACAAGAGTGGGAGAAGAAAAATACCACATAGGCCAAAATCTTCCAAATTAAAAATACACTATTATTGCCTCAATCTGTGTGTATGAAAGTGTATTTGTGGATACTAGAATGTTTTTTGATTAAAGGAGAAAATGTGGAGAAGAGAATGTCCCATTCAAATGTACTCTTTCCAGTCCTGTTATAAAACACTCCAGGAGCCAAGAAAATGAGAGAATTTTATGAAACAAAACAACAAGGTTAAGAAACAAAAACAAAACCAAAAAAACGAAAAACATAAAAAACAATGTTAATAAGTTGATTTTTTTTCCCCTGCTCTGCCCCATTCAGTTTTCCCCCTTCACCTTATGGGAAGGAAATCAAAACACTACAAATACATATAAAGTAAAAAGAAGAGCCTCTTGCTTACCTCTTCCTCCAATGCCACTGTTTGGTATCTATTTCTGTGATCATTTACGAGCATATACAAATATACATATAGACACCATTTTTAAAATCAAAAGGGAGTCACTCTTCTGCATCACCCAACAATAATACATCATATATCTTATCTAATAGCTGTTAGAGTATTCTACCATATAGATATATGTAAACTAAGCCCTAAAGAAAGTACTTCTTCTGAAAATAAGAGCTCCTCTAAGGGTGATTTTTACTCACCTGTTTCGTTTCTGCTTCAAAGGTAATTCTAGTAACAATTATGTGATTTGTTTTAGTTACCCAAACAGAAACAAACCTCCTTAAACCCTACACCACATCTGCTTCTGGGTTTCTCCCCTCGGTGCGGTATATAATTTTACCACTGAGTTCCATCTTCCATGACCACATAAAATTCAAATGCAAGCAAGCCAAGTTTTACTTACGTTACTGCATACTGTGCAAATGACAGATATTCCACTAGAACATCAAGACCCTTGTTTTCTTCATTCAAAAACTCTCTGACCCATCTGTTGAAAAAAATAATAATCATTGGAGAGGTTGATCACATAACCTGCCATGGAAAGGACACAGTGGAAGGTTTTGTTTTTCCACTGGACATGTTCATTGGCTGAAAGAAAATACAGAGGAAGGCCTAGATATTTCACACAAGGTAACAGCTTTTCAGATATGGTAACTAGGAAAAGTACAACATTTCGATATGCAAGAATAAGGACTAAATAGTGCACGTTGCCATCTTTGCATTGTACTGCTTAGGAGACTTAAGATAACCTATAAGAAACTTTCTAAAAAGAAAAAAAAAGGCACTTGCTAAATGTACTCTTTCCACCCCAACTGATCCACAGCCTGCTTGTTGAAGGCGGCAAGACCACGCGGGAATGAGGCAGATTGGGGACATGACAACGTAACCACTGAAATCCAGGCAGGATTCCAAATGCACACTCAACTCCTCCTTGGCACACCAAGCTACAGAAACCACTCAACCAGCCAACGGGAGACCAGTGTTTGTGGGCTTCTAGAAATTCAATAGGGATAATGATTTACTTAATTTTTTCCCGAATGTTAAAACCTTTTTAAAAGCTGCAGGCACCACATACCATCATCAAGGTCAAAACGTGACAAGTATCAGGTTTTTTTAAAATATTCACTGTTAAATAATACCACTTGAATAGTACTCAACAGTTCACTGAGAAAGTTTACACATTTTTATTTGTCCTTCATAATAACTCCAAGAATAGTCAAACAGAATCTTAGGTACTCAAGATAAATATCTTTATCCCATTTTACAGATTTCCTCCAGTGCACTCATCTTCAAAGAACATGTGGTACCTGATTAAACCTTCCCTAAGTTTGAAACTCCAACAAATAAATCAAAAAGTCAGCTACTATCACTGAAATGACACCTGAGGTACATCTGTCAACTGCATCTCAAAATGGTCGTTTTCTTCCATGAACACCAAGCCAAAAAGGTTGACCGGCTATGGATATGACAGCAACTATGGAAGCCAGTTTAGCTAGCTATTAAAACAATAGCTGGACAATCCTACCATGTGTCCCTTAAGAGTGAGCAACCCTTTGGGATTTTTTTTTTTTTTTTAAGATAGTCTCACTCTGTTGCTCCAGCTAGAGTGCAGTGGTGTTATCATAGCCCACTGCAACCTCAAACTCCTGGGCTCAAGCAATCCTCCTGTCTCAGCCTCCCGAGTAGCTGGGACTACAGGCATGCACCACCAAGCTGGCTAATTTTTTCTATTTTTAGTAGAGAAGGGGATGTCGCTCTTGCTCAGGCTGGTTTCAAACTCATGGCCTCAAGCAATTCTCCCATCTTGTCCTCCCAGAGTGTTAGAATTACAGGTATGAGCCACCGTGCCTGGCCTGGGATCTTTGTCTTAAAGGAAGAAAAAATCCCATGGACTTGGAATGCCTGGTTTTTAAATTTTGTTATTTGGAGTATTTCCTTTTTTTTTTTTTATCTTTACATTTTTAGAGACAGGGTTTCATTCTATCACCCAGGCTGGAGTACAATGGTGTGATCATAGCTCATCGCAGCCTCAAACCCCTGGGCTCAAGGGATCCTCCCACCTTGGCCACCACCAGCCCACAAAAGTAGCTGAAGCTACAGGTGCACATCATCACCCACAGCTAATGCTTTTTTTTTTTTTTTTTAAACAAACAGGATCTCACTACTATGTTGTCCATGCTGGTCTCAAACTCCTAGGCTCAAGGGATCCTCCTGCCTCAACTTCCCAAGTTGCTGGGGTTACAGATGAGAGCCATCACATCCAGCTTGGAATTTTTTCTTTGTTGTATTCTCAAGCTCATTCTTTCTTACAGTCCCGTCATCTCCATGATGTAAACTCAGGTCTACACACAGTACCAAGAGGCAGCATAGTGGGAAAAGTAGAAAGCTTGCCTTGTATTTTTCCCCGGTATGCCTCAGACAGGCAATCACAAAATGTATGCAATTAACATAGCTGTGTGTAAGCATATAACATTTAATTTAAAAGAGACCTAGAGTGGCAACATTGGCAAAGAGAACACCACCTGGTAGGTCTCACAAAG